TTTCTTATAGGGCATGCATATTTCTTACAGTTGATGAAGATGTGCTTTTTTTCGCCTCTGAATAGATTTTCCACATTTTATCGTATAGCATATCGGCCTTACTGTCAAGACCGAATTTTTGTAGGAAGAATTTAAGTGAGCTTTCCTTTTCGACTTCAGAATGAGAAAAACATTTTTTGAGGCATACTCAGACGTCAATCGGTATGCAACCTGGCAGTTTAAGAAAGCTAGAAGTAAAATAATCTCCCACACTAATTTTGATCTTAATTGGACTGCTCATATATTATTTTTCCTCCAGATCCTCTTCACCTTTCTCAGGAGCCTTAACAGGATACTTTTTTACAAAATCATTTTCAGATTTCGCTCCTATCTTTCCATGGTATTTCCACTTTAGAATTTCTTCCTTTGTTTCGAACTTTCCTGTCATTCGCTCTCACATCCATTCAAGTATATTAAGTTGATATGCTCTTTCCATAATAAAACACCAATCATAATCTGAATCATTAAATCCAATATGAATATCAGGAGTAAATACTCGTCAGCAGAGAGTGAAAGCTTTTAGTAGATTTGCTTGGTTTTTACATATGATTGTCATCCATCACAGATCTAGTTCCATTTCAACATCAATAAGACATATTGGCTTTAGTGGTTTTGGATCATCTTTCCAATGCAATGTCATGCAAATCATAAAAGCATTATAATTCAGATTAAGGACTTTAGCAAATTCACACAATTCTTGTGATTGCGTCTCTATATCCTATGTGAGGATAAGAGTACGATCTTGTAGGAGAGCTGAAATAAGGAATCAGTTGCTTATTGTTATAAGATCTTCCAGTGAACAGAAATCTTTTATAGATACGTAGAATTCGTGTAGACAAAGCGAACTAGTCCACTTGCCTTTCTTGCATATATATTTGTTTATTGTAGACCATCCAGAGAGTTGAATACTATTCTCTTGGACTACCTTATGGTGAAATGAGTATAAATCATCTGAAGCAGTTTTGAAGTTATTATCTTGAACAGCTTTAATAGTAGTTTTTCAACTACCAGTACTGTTTGTATAAATTTGCAAATATGACTTTTTTTCTGTATGATAGCCATGAAAAGGGAATGCCTTAATATGCTCTACTGAAAATGTCTTTACGCTATCAGATAAAATATCCTTATTTTTGTTTCACATTTATCAGAAGATTCATCATCTAGCACAAGAATATCAAAGAATATCTGAATGTCTTTAAGAGTTACTAGTGCCTTTTGGCCATTAATAAGATGACCATAAAGACGCAATACATAGCAGTATTCCAATTATCCTTTCTGTTGATCCTTCATTCTTAATGGCTATGAATGAAATATCTTATTATTTAGATAAAACATTCTCGAGTATTGGAGTTAATCCCTTATCATTTCCCACAATTATATCATCCAGTGTTGAAAAATCCAACAAGTTTTTTTACTAGAATAGTGAATCAGTTAGCCTTTCATTTTATCTTTTTTGGCCTCTAGGTGAAAAAGGGCGGGAGCGTCAAGAAACTCTGATTGGGTCATGATAAAAATTTTTAGTTATGTTATCTAGTATACTGAAACAGTATAATACCC